ACCTCAGTCAGGCGTGAGGATCGAGTGTCAGCATTGATTGCGCGCCCGGTTCATTAATGGCACAATAGGGCCACAAAGTCGAATCATTGGAGCAGCTTTGTATGGCCAGATGCTGGCCAAAATGGGCACCGTCGGAGGTCTCGTTCACTCTCTAAAGCCACTTGTTTAACAACTAGCGAGTCAGTGACGTGCAATCTGACCCTTACCAGGGGCTAATATTGGTCGACATTTGGTAGCGAAACTTGGCGGTGTTCGGCGGCCCTCCGCGACCGCTACTCGAACATGTCATTCCATTAATTGGTGCCATCTGACAGTGTTTGACAAGATGGTTAGCTTATTTCGTTCACAAGCAGGGGCTTGACCGATGAAAGTGAATTGATCTGTACAAATCATCATTCGGAATGAACTCGTCCTTAAGACTGGCAGTACCTCAGAACAACTGGAAGCATCATCAAGGTAACAAGCTTTAATCAGGAAAGAACTAAAACCATGGAGTTTATTAATCGGCTGCAGCTTCAAGGCCATGTCCATATTTGCCACATGGCTGTCATCCGGTGTTGAACTATTTATAAATGAAGCAATCTTTCTAAACCTCGCTATCCTCCCAAATCCCAAACCGGCATAAGGACATGCCTAATAACTGGCTGTGGCACATAAAAGTCAGAACCATAACTGCGCATTAATCGACGTTGTGGCAAAATATGGATTTAGAAGACAAGAATATGATCATCCAATTCTGGTCTAATCTAGACGTAGAAGCACCACGTGTAAACAATCTTGAGCAGTCCGCTACAATGCAAGTCGACATATATAACCAAAGCAACAAATCCAGCTCATATAAGAAAGTCTAGTCTCTAACCAATCAAAAGATTGTTTGCAATAGTACGCTAATGAAGCATCAAAATTCGATCATTCATTTTTTATGGGCGACAGCCCCGATTTCTTCAAAACACAAGTTTTTCAGTAAAAAATGAAACAATAAATTTCCTGCGGGATATTAAACACAAATTCAACTATTTACCGATGTTCACCACTAGCTGCTCGTTTTACTTAAGGATAACGGCAACTTCATCACGTTTTTCAAGAGCCTCCCCTCCCCTCAGGCAAACTTCGAGGAAGGGATTCCATGCTGTTAAAGGGTAGGTGTTCAATATACTCAAATCCTCTGGCGACAAATC